AAAAAAACACAAACTAGTCCAAAACCAAAGGAGGATATAAGTCTGCAAGAAAAGTAAGTTAAAGTGAATTAATAATAATAAACAAATGCTAAAATAATTTATTTATTTCTGATTCAGACCCCGTGAAGAATTAAAAACTCGATCAGTCTTTCCAGTCACGATCGACGAGTTCATTGAAAATACAAACATAATCGAAGTAATTAAAGATTATATTAAAGATAAATATTCAACAGCCTTAGAAACATATCTCACGGCACCAGAAATCATGAGCAGGGTAAAAAATACATATAACGTTTTTTACAAAAGACCACAACGACGATGTATGGCACCAATGAAATATGTTCGCATCACTAGTGACTGTGATGAAAATACAAAACAACGTTTGTTTAAAATTCCAGAATATTATAAACATTTGTGTGAAAATAAAGATAATGAACATCAAAGCGTAAAACAAAGTTTAAAGAAACAAGATAGTTCTCCAAATAAAAATATAAATAGGTAAATATTAAGTAGAGAAATTATTGACCATTTAGACAATAAAAAATTTATGTATGTGCATTACAGCGTTAGCGATAAAAAGATATTAGAAGAAAAGATCCTGGGACTGAAGAGGTATTTAAGTTATTTAAATAAATAAATTATTTTATTAAAACGATATTTTTTATAAATATAGCATTATATCAAATTTTGATGCTAATAACAAAGAAACAAATGAAAAAGTGTGCAACCTTCCAGTCAGTTTTGAAACGTTTAAAAGGTTCACATTTCACAATGATGTTATTGATAACATTTGCCAAAGCATAAAGGAGTTGGAGTATGAGTTGCCAATTTCAAATATATCAAAAGAAGAATTATTTGATAATAATAAATTACTTCGGAGTTACTACAAAACATTTTACATGCAAACGGTTATTCGGACAATATTTCCATTGAAAATAAAACCATGTCCGGGACGTTTAAAGGACAAACTTTTGAAATATCCAGAAATTACGTCAGATCATGAAGGTAAATAAAAATTGTTTGTCACAAACCTTACTATTAAGTAATATTTATTTTAGAGCCTACAGTAAGTAATAGAGATGCTATAAATGCTAATACGAAGGAACATTTAAATAAGAAAACAAAATTAGGAAGCATGAAAGAAGATAAAAATATGGAAAAATGTTCATTAGGTGAGTTACACTTAATTAATTAATTGTATTACTTAGCACTAAAAAATCTAAAATTTTCCAGCATTAGAAATTAAGGCACCGGAAGATAATGCTGTCGAGAAATCTCTATTACATCACCAAAAACAGAATATGCCAAAGACTTTATCACCAACACCATGTCGAGCACAAATGAAGGCAAAACCCTTGACATTTCCGAACAAAATTTTTAATGTTGATTCCGGTAACGGTTAATCAAAACTTTTTTTGAAAAAATTTCAGGCTTTAAAAAAAAATTTATTCTAGACTCCACGACAAGTAATGATAATGACGAAATTTTTGAAGGCAGTGCAAATGTAACGGTGGTGGAACGAATTGATCAGGGTAAGGAGAATAAATGTTCTTTTTGTGATTTACCTTACTTAACTGATAAGTTTGATTGTATTTTTTGATTTGATTGTATTAAATTTTAATTATTTTCAAAACATTTATATTTTAGATAATGCTGTCGAGAAATCTATGATACATCAACAAAATCAGAAGACACCAAAGTCAAAAGTCTTGCCGTTTCCAAACAAAAATGTTGGTTCCGATAATGGTAAATTAAAAATTTATTTGATTTATTTGAAATTTTTTGTTATTAACGACTTTATATTGCAGATTCAACGAACAGTGATGAGAATGAAGAAGATATTATAAATGTACCAGTGGTAAAACCTATCGGCAACAAAACTAAATTAAATCAATGTAATAATATTATTTTAAGTTTTGGTTTATTTTTTATTTAATTGTATTTTATTAATTTTGTACTAAAAACAATTATATTTTCAGCCAATGAGAATGCTAATCAACACGTAACAAATCTTCAAAAAGAAACAAAAACTCCGGAATCAAGTCCACTCATAAATGTTTCCTTGCAGACACGAGATACCCTTGACGAGAGTAAACAAAAAAGGTATGAATGTTTTAATGTTTTATATTAAATTTAAACTGAGAATTTTTTATTTCTTTTTTTTTTTTTTAAACTTATACATTTATTTATTGTATCTTCTCCTTTTAAAATCTTATCACTAATTACATGTTACAAATTTTTGTTTTAACTATACATTGTATAAAATAAAATAAGTAAACGAACCTCACTTAGAACAATGGGTTAAATTTCATTGGAGTGAATGTTAAGTGGTGTATCAAGGAAGCAGTTCAACTTTATCAGATTACTTAAAAGAAAGAAGTGGTTTTCACTTCAAGCTATTGAATATTAATTAATGGCTGGACGGTCAGCTCTTTTTAGGCAGGAAGTAGTGAATAGATGTGCGAGATTTCTTGCTAGGAGAATAACATTTGCGCCAAGTTAGTTGTCTGTCTAGATGATTACCTAAATACGTAAATAAATATTATCTGCTAGTGGTATGGGAATGTTATTTAGTAAAACTGTTGGAGATGCACTCCGATTTAAGGTAAAAATGACGTGTCTACATTTTAGTTTATTTATTTTAATTCGCCATTTTGACAACCATTTCTCCACCCGAAATAAGAGAGATTGATGTTGGTTTGAAGCTAGCACAACGTTTTTGTTTCGACATAAAATTGCCGTATCATCAGCAAACGTTGTGGTGACGACTGAGCTACTTATTGGGATATCAGATGTGTAAAGTACATACAAGATAGGGCCAAGAAAACTTCCTTGTGGAACACCAGCTTCTATTGGGAAATTATTAGATATATATCTAATAATTATTAGTATATGATCTATATATAACTTTAAAGCTTCTGTTATGCAGATACAATTTTAAACTGAGTGGACATTTAAAGGTAACAAACAGCGTACCTTATATAGGAGCCCATTGTGCCATACTTTGCAAAGGCTTGTGTAACATCGAGAAATACCGCGGAACAATATTCTGTGAGCTCAAACGCGTGTCTTATTTCGTTCGTTATACGATTCACTTGCTAGTTCCATGTTTTCCCTAAAACCAAACTGGTGGGAGAGTAATAGGTTTTGACCGTCAAGAAATGGTTTCAACTTTAAAAGCAGTGCTCTTTCAAAGTGTTTAGAAGAGCATGGCAATAAGGTTATTGGCCTGTATAAAGAGGCAAGCGTGGGATCTTTACCTGATTTATGAATCATAATAATCATGGGTGTTTTCACTCTGTTGGGTAAAAGCCAAATTTATTAATAACATTAAAAAGTCTTGTTATAAAATTTATAGCCAAAAGGAGTAACTTTTTTGATAGAGTAGTGGTGTTATTAAAAAAGTACTTTTCTCTACATATTATTAATATAGTTTATTTTAAAAAATTTTTAATATTTTATCTTAGGCTTCAACAAACAATCACACATGATGATTCGAAATACGTACTGAAATTTCAAGACTTCGTTAAGAGTACCAATATTTTAGACCTTTTAAGAAATTCGAGCGATTCTACTGATGATTACTTAGTGAATTTAGCATACGAATATTACATCAAATTTGTTACTAATCCTGTTAATCCAAATGTGGAACTATTTAAAGATTTGATGATACATGCAAACGAAAAATCAGTAAAATCATTTTATACTATATATACTCAAAATAAAAAAGACTCATCTAAAGAAGTAAAGGCTATAGAAGATATGTAAGTTTAAATTACTATTATATATATTTAAAATTTGATTTTAATGTCAGTTATGACGTTAGTGACTATTTTAGGTAATAGATTTATATTTGTATTTAATATAGAGGTTTTGAACAGCACTGAATTGCAACAACAAAAATTTTATTTATTTTAATTAAATTCGATTTAATTAATTAATTTTTAACCAAAACTTCGATTAATTCAAAATAAATAAAAAATTTTATTGTTAAAATTCAGTACTACTCGAAACCACTGTATTAAAAGTAAGTTTGATGATTCAGGATATTTTCTGGATAATCAATATGTCATTTTGATAAATTTTATTATTACATGTATAATATGAAATATACAAAAAAAATGCAGGTAAATAAAATCAAACTTGTTTTTTCAAAATGAAAGTAGAAAAAGTAACAAAAATTTTTATATACAAATTTTTGTCAGTTTTTGATTTATTTGTTAAACGTAACAAGCCTTTTCTATTATTTTTATAAATATTTGCAGGCAAGGGCCGAAAGCGAGTAAGTCCATTAATAAGAATGATATGTTTCCTGTCTCAATAGCTGAATTCAAAAAGTACACATATTATAAAGAAGTGCTACTTCAAATTTTGAAAGAAAAAGCCAAAGGCGATGAAGAACTTTTTGTAAAATTACGGAGAAATAAATTGGTTTGGAAGAAAGCGCTGCGATTGTATTACACGAATTTCTTTTTTAAACCATCGATACGTAAAAAATACACTTTACGTTTGAAAGAAATGCCGCAAAGTTTGAAGGCAAAATTTTTAGAAATACCTGCAAAATCAACAACAGTGAAGGAAAGTAAGTATTAAACTCAGCTAAAGCAAATTTTTTATATTTTTATGTTGTAAAGATTTAGCTGCGTTGTTAATTCTTTGCATTAGGATTTCCAATCTTTTGGGGGAACTAAGGCCTTTATAATTTATCCACTAATTTGTAGGTTTGAATTTACATTATATACGTTTGCGTAACATTTTTTTCTAGCAGAGTTGCACAACGTACACCAATAAGTGACCACTGCCCAATGAACAGTGTATAGCATATTCTCTACTACCAAAGTGTGGTAAATTGAAGCTTCACTAAGTCTTCTGGGAAAGGTATGACTGCCTTCTCTGCTCAACAATGAATAAACAATTCTATGCATTTAGGTCAACTATATTGCAAAACCGAAGTGGTTTTCACCCATTCTGATATAAAATCTAATTTTTGACTTTAGGATATATAGACAATTTACTACTTTGTCAGTTGATTAAATTCAAGACACTGTTCTTATCTTATTCTAACATGGCATCTCCCGTAATTATGATATTCTCATTACCAATCTCAAACACACCATTGCATAGATCTTCGGTTTCCGATTGTTACAATTAAAATACACCTGAATGATATACGCTGATTCCTTTTTCAACTATAATTCTACTACTATCACGCTTAGAACAGTAACATATTGAATTCCTAAGCTCGTCACTTATTCTTTTTTGATTTCGTATTTCATTCTACTATAGGCTCTACTTTTTCTTGCGGAATGTTGTGGTTGACGAGACTTGGTTCCATTCGTCTTTTTAATCTATTTACATCAAAGGTTTTCACTATGTTGTGATATAACGTATTTATATCACTGATATTAACGCCATCGAATACTTGAAATATTTCTATTTCACTTTTAAGTCCATTCATCAGAATAATCATTGTTTCCCAATAACCAACTCTTATATAAGAGAGGAGTGATGATATCATAACTACAAGATTTTAAGAGTCATGATTAAATTTTTGATCGTTCGTTCGAATCTCAATAAAAACATATGATGATTGTTGGTTAAAGAAAGGAAACGATGTATAATCTGTTTTGTTTTTAGAAAAAAAATGTGATAAAAACCATTTAAAAAGTGATAGAGAATCAAATTACACCTATTTCGATAGCTATAAGCCATTATCTGATGAATTTTTATTAATGTACATATCAAAAAAAGTGTCTGATGTTAATAAGCATCCAGAAATTTTAAAACGTATAAAGGAAAATAAACAACCACATAAAAGACAGTCGGGAATAGAAATAATATCAATAGAAACGATTGTGCCACCAAATATTGAAAATGAAATAACATTGGATGAACAATCGCCAGTCATACCTGAAGAAAACATGGAAATATTCAATAAGTTGTTCGATCCAATTCCTTTGGTAATTGAAATGAACTTATAATGAATAAATTTATATAATTTTACTAATTCTTTTTTTAGAAATGTACTTTATCCTATGTACTTCGTTTTTCTTTTGGTCCAAAACAATCTGTTCTGCGCACATTGATGCATATATCGTTCGAAGATTTCTGCAAGTTCACAAATATTTATCAATTGTCTAATATTTATAATGATAAACTAAAACTATTCAAAATTTATGAATCCACGATTAAAAAAGACATATGGCCGTTTAATTTATATATGCGCATAAGTGATATTTTCCTTTATTTACTGTTAAATGATGTAAAGCTTGATTTAAGTGATTTACAACATATATCACCAAAGTTTTTACATTGGAATGATCTTGCAGTGAATACTGATTTTAATGAAATTGTAAAAGAAGATTATTTTAATATGAATGGAGAGCGCATTGATGGTGATGAACAGCTACAAATTTCTCGTGAAAGTTTTTATACTCGTTGCTGGAATGAGGACGATTGGATATGGCGAATACCCAAAATAACTAATAATTCGATCCAAGAGAAAATTAATGTTACTAAAGGCAAGTGATTAAAAGTTAATACTAATGCTGGATTATTCAAAATTTCGTTATTTATTATTTTTAAATTTTTAATATGGCATAAGTATTGAATAATATATTGTCTATTTTGGTTCAATACCATTTTGCTCTGTTTGTAGCAGTAGCATAATTTTAGAATTTAATAATTCTATGTTTTCTTGCTCTAATACATTAAATTCTACATATAAATGCTCTTCGTGAGTTGCCAATTTAATTAATTATAGTAAGCCTATAATGTTCGTTTGATATTCTATACAGCACAATGTATGAAACGTAATGAGAATTAGCTTCAAAATTTAACCTTTTTCTTGAGAATTAAATTAAATTCAATTAAAAACACAAATTGTAAATTAACCTTTTGATGATGTTAAGAATTAAGAATCGGTATTTTATGCCGCAGAGCTTTCTGTTGTCTTACTTTCAATACGGCTTAAATGTGAAATTAAATGCCAATAAAAAAAAATTTAAATCCTTTGTTAAAAATAAAACGAAATTACTTTTCAAAGCTAGTATATTTTTCCAAGTATTGTTTTCAATGCATTATTAAGACTTCAATTATATGTATACTTAAACCATTAGCATTATCTGATGAAGATGCAGAACAGTTGACTGTTGAGAAAAAAAATGTAAAGGACTCATATATATCACTGGAAAAGTGTAAGTGAGATATATGTATATAAATATCTCTTATAAAATCATTATTTTTGGTTTTAATCAAAGTCTAAATATATTTGTTACTTAAGCTTAAACAAAAGCAATCAATATAGCGTTTAGTAGATATTTACACTTAAGGTTTTCAGATCGAACTCACTTTTACTTTATTCATATGTTTTTGAAAAACTACCATTTTACCAGTATTATCAAAAGGGTAAAGGTTATGCACAGCACGTCTTCTAGAAACCGATTCAAATCATTAACTTTTTAAACAGGAGATAAGAAACTATTTGAATAACTGGGTAAGGTAACACAAACTTACAACAGCACAACCACACTGATATGGCAATCAAATATTTATAAATCAGTGTTATACATTCTTTCACAACTAAAACAAAAGACAGATGGTAAACTATTACAACCTGTACGTACATTAACGAAAATCAACTGGAGCTCTCCTAACAAAAAACTTACTAAGACTCTCCTTTAAAATGATTAACAAAGTATAATTACATTTAGTGCATTAACAAGTCATTCTCTCTTAAAAGCACACGTAGATGAGTTGGAATGAGGACGGTAATTGCAGTAAAAGCAACATACCTGGATTAAACGTTATGTTGCAATCTAGAGCAATGTTTTTGAACTCAAACCGGCCGGTAAAATATTCATTCCAATTTGCAACCTTCAGTACTCATATATTCGCAAAAAAAAGACCAAAAAACATTTATGCTACCCATACAGAAAATCAGGAAGACCTCATGATAGTGATGAAACAATTTATTTTATATACCATAAATTACTACTGCAATAAATAACTGATTTGATCATAAAACTATAATTTTATCAAGACAGAATAAGTATTTTCAAAATGACATAGTTCGGCGTTAATATCTTTACTAGTTTAGTTTAAGTACGAGTATTCAACGTATTCATATATATTTTTTAACTGCTTATTTCCATATTGTTTAAATATAAATCAGCAATACTATTTACTAACTGCTATTGTATATTCTGCATATTGTACTTTTTTATATAGATCTAAATGAAAATTCGGAATGTCATAATCACACAGAACTGGTTGAAACGTCTTCCAGTATCACAAATCGTTCCTTAAAAATTGCAGTTCAAAGTACCAATAACGATGGAGCATGTAGTGTTGATGTTTTGCTTTCATCACAGACTCAACCTCAGGAAGACCCAGTCTGTATGTCATACAAAGCAAATACATCAAATCCTAATAACACAGGTATTACATTTTTGGTTATTGTTGAAAAATAATAATTATATATATTGTACTATTTATATCAAAAAATTTTAAAAACTATTGAAGAAGAACCATCCGAATCAAATAATTCTATAATTATAAGTGATGAAAATGATCAGGGGGACTGTCATTTATTTGAAGAAACTGCGATTGATTCAGTAGAAACCGGTGGTGATCAATTGTTATCAGAACGCATACCTTCTGAAAATATTAATAATACAGGTAAACTTTTTTTTTATTTTTTATTATTAAAAATAAAAATATATATGTATTATGTATTATTTATTTTACAGAAATCATAAAAGATATTAAAGAAGAACCAGATCTTAGTTTAGACTTAAATGATGACAGTGTTCAGATAATCGAGGACGCTTCGATTAGTTTAATAGTAATTGATTCTGATGAATCGTCATCTGAGTTACAGCCTTCTGAGCCTTCTGATTGTATTACACCGCAACAGACTGGTATATCATCCCAAATAATTAAAAATGAAATAGAAGCAATTTGCGAAGTGCCTAAAACTGATAGTGACTTAAATGAAACTTTAATTATGACAGGAGAGAATAATAATCTTAAAATGGTAATTATACCTCACGAAGCTATTTCAAATTTATTGGCAAATTCTGAAAGTGATATTTTTGACTTACCGAAATCTTCAACTGACAATGCAAACCAAATAACTGAAACTGAAATAATACGAAAGCGGAAACAAAATACTTATTTCAGTAGTAGAAACAAAAAGTTAAAAACGAATAAAATTACTGATATTGTTCCGCAGCTTACTCATGAATTTCGCGCTCTGCCAATGCAAATTATTACAAAAAGTACAGAAAGCGAAAACATTGAACCATCAGTAAGTGGGACCTCAAATCCATCACAAAGCAAATCAGTGTCCGAAGCATTATGTGTAGATGCTACAGTTTTTAACGACACACAATTACTAAGAGCAGTTGATCAACAACACTACAATCTTGTTCCAACCCAGATGTCGGATAAAATGAATAAAAACGTGGCTATAAATAGCAATGCAGATATTGCATCACATATGAGTAGTAAAAACGCGACAGCGCTACCTAGTGTTTCAAGTTCTAACACTAACCAAAGCAATAAAAATAAGAGTAAGGTAAATGAGCCTGAATTACAACACACCTTATATTACTTTGAATTGTGTCAATTTCATTTCATCCTGAACTCAACTGCAAGACATATTGCCAAATATAAATTACGTAGCTATGATGTAGGTCAAAACATTGTAGAAGCTATAATATGTCGGGAGTTTAGAACAAAATTATACGGCGACGTTTTAAATGGTATTTTCTCACATACTGAACCAAATATTTTACAAGATGTACGTAAAGTATTGCATGATCTTAAAGAGTACCATTTTCTTATCAACGATTACGAGTCAATTAATAATAAGGACCTCCGCGCTAGAATACTATTTTACTTTATGTACTCAAAGCTCTCTTTCTGTTACTGTCGGTTAGTTTATGAGACACAATCACACGAAAATGCACTGTGTATTTCAATGCAAGCATATGAAAGCGCTAGGACTCAATCAGCAGATTCTAGAAACTATTGTCTTTTAGAAGCCATCAAACTCTCTATACAAGAAAAATTAAAAAAGCTAAAACAAGGTATAGAAGAAAAAAGTTATAGTTATAGATATATTTTATGAATGTTTAGAAAATAGAAAAGATTCTGAGTTAATAAATTTTATATTTCGCAATAACACAAAATTTAGTTTTTATTGAAAATTAATTTGTTTCTTTATTTTATTTTCATTTCAGAATCCTTTCAAATAGAATCTCGAAACTAGTTCAAAAGAATGAAAGTACTTTATTGTGCAAACAAATAAAAAATTTGTGAAAGATTTTTGAGGAACCATTGGTGTTGTCCCAAAACGGAAACATGTAGTACAATAAAGGTCGTTTATATTACCTGCTCTACACTATCAGTGTTCAACCAATCTAGCTATTAATAATAA